AGTAAGACAATCTTACAGTTGTATAGAGCTTTGATATTTCCAATATGTTGCATTATAGTCAGCTTTCTGTGACAAAATACCGGAGGAAATCAACTTAGGGGAGGAAGGATTTATTTCAACTCATGTACACGGTCACTTGACCTCATCACTTTGGGCCTTTGTGAGACAGAATATTATGGCAGGGAGAGTGTGGTAGAGCTAGGACTTTTACTCCATGGCATTTGGGAAGCAAAGAAAGGGAGAGAGGAAGGGGCCAGGGATAGGACAAACCCTTTGAGGACATGATCCACGTTGAGCAACTTCCAGCAACAAGACCCCATTCCCTAAATTTCTCATCAACCTCCCAAAGTGCCACTGATTGGGGACCTGCCTTCAACACATGAGCCATTGGGGAACATTCCAAATCCAAATTATAACATGTATTTTCTCTTGCTCCAGTCTGAGTCATACATGCATCTATCCTCGTTTTATTTTATAATTGAAAACAGTTAGACAACTAGTGGTTAGCCGTAGTCTTTGAGATCATAAATTTTAACAATGTCAGGCTGGAATGGAGTCCAAGACTCATATTTAGTTCTTTTTCTTTTTTGGATGAAACACTAATAATGATATAGTAGTCATCATTTACTGTGCTCCACCATTTGCATACATTAGCATATTTGGATGTTTCTAACATTAACGCAGTATACTCTACTATCCATTTTATCTTATAAATGACAGGATCCAAGTTAAGAGATAAATGAACTTATCCAGGATCACACAACAAGTATGCGGCCAAGGAAGAATGAGAACAAGTTCCTCTGGGGATAAAGAATGTGCTTCTAATGTAAGAATTGTGCATTTCTAATTGCAATTGTTGGGAAGATTAAAAAATCAACAGCAGACCAGACTTTTCAGAAGTCAATCAGCTCCATGTTTCTGGGTTAGCAATGGAGACACATTTTTCCAGAATGCCATGGGATTTCACAGAGAACTTAACTTTATGAAGCGTGGGCCACTATTCAGAAACAAAGAACACGGTGGAACCCAACACAAACCTTTTATCTTGGGCCTGCCTCTTACACTTGTTCCTATTTATCTCACCACTTATCAGCAGACACTGGAGATTAGAGAGCATGCAGTTTCTTTTGAAATAATTACCTGACCCGATTATCTTAAAAGACTCGCAGACTGCTAGGCATTTCTCTGAGCAGCGGTGGGTGGGATAATCGGCCCCTGCATTACTAAGTGTTATCCTGTTAGGAATAATAAGACCCAAACAGCAGTCTTTATTCCTCACTGAAACGTTAGTCATCCCAAGAAATTAACTTGAAACGTGGAGCCCTTTGCCTGACGACAGTTGTGTGGGCTGCGGAGTCAGTTAGTGGGTGAACCTGAAAGTGGATCTAATGTCTTTATGAGTCTCTCTCTGGAGAAAACAGCTAACTCTTTTTCCAACAGAAAACCGAGGTAGGCTTGAGAGCAACAGCCTCTCCCGTGCCTGTGAAGCAGATACCATGCCTCCAACTGGGAGGAGTCGGCTGAAGAAATATGATGCAGAATATCTGGGGACATTTTTAACAAAACTGCAGTCCTTGTTCCCTTCACCATAGAGGAATTCCTGAGAGGAAGAAGCCTAGCTGAAGCCTATCCATAGTGTGTAGGAAAGAAATTGAACCTCAAGGAAGGGCCTCGACCCCAGAGCCAGGAACACCCCCCACCTTTCCCTTTCCTCCTCCTCTTTCTTCCTTCCATTTCTAATTGTAATTACAAAGTGACACAGAATTGAAAAAGTAAAAGTGATTGTGTGTGTGCCCTGCCCAGCTTCTCTTAGTGGCAATGTCCTGTCTTACTAATGGAACAGCACCAAAGCCTGGAACCCATAACTCTGGTCTTCCATCCATCTTCCTCAGGTTTGGCCAGTTCTGTATGCACCGATTCGCACACACATCATACACCTGGGCATCTCGGTCTGCTCAGCTTGGTCACACATGTATGATTCTACATGATGCCCAAAGACCTCTCTTCTGTTGTCTTTCTCTATTCATACCAACCTACCCTGGCCGCCATCACCAGCCTCTCACAGCCATGCCTCTCTCTGTGCTCCGTAATTTTGTCTTGTAAGAACTGAAGTCAAACTCAATTAATCAAATTATTACCACCGTCTCCAAAATATTCTGCAATTTCCAATTTGATTGAAATCTGAAATCTCTTATTAATAAATGGCATGATGAAATTTTACACGTTCTAGGTGACAAGGCTTTCCTGCCATCTTTCCAAATTTGATATTTTCTACTGCAATGTATTGTTGTCAGAGACATGAATATGATATTATTTGTGTGCAGGGTTTTATGTGGACACCATTTTCGTTGATAAACACCCAGAAGTGTATCTGGGTTAGATGGTAATTTTATATTCAGTTGTTTAAAGAGATGCCAAACAGTTTTCCAGCAGAGCTGCACCATTTTACATCCCATCAAAACTGAATCAGTCCCTGAATTCTCATCAGCATTTGGTTTTAGTGATCTAAATGTTTTTAACTTGCATTTTCAGATGGCTACTGATAGCCACATCATTTTAGGTGCCTACTTGCCATCCATGTATGCTTCTTAGCAAATGTCTGTTCATGTCTCTTGCTTGTTTCCTAGTTGAATTTAACTTTTTACACATACATCTTAGGAATTCCTTATATATTCTAGATTCAAACGTTCTGTCAGGCATGGGATTTACAAATACTACTTCTCCTCAGAGACGCACAGTGCTTTATGCTATTAAAATGCACACAAGGATGCTCAGTGTTTGGGTTTTCATATGCAAGTCAGCGAGGTGAAACAGCATCCAAACATCATTACTATTGTTCCACTTTGAGTAAGTTAAGACAGGAAAGTTCTTTCCCTTCCAGGGCAACCAGAGAAGGATTATCAGATACTTGGTGATGATCTTTGTGGTCCTTTGTGGTGTTGGAGAATTCACAGAGCTGTAAGAAAGAATGACTAAAAGGTATACCTCCATCCAATGGACAAAGGATCCCCTTAGGATTCTTGTGCACTGACTTTTAATTGCATCTGAATTCCCCCCAAACAAACTCAGATGTAAGGATATGAGCCTTCCCGATGTTTCCAGACTCCCCCAGGTTTGCTCAAGACACTAGAAAACGATGTGTTCCCTGAGCTGAGCATTGTTTTCAGACACTGACTTCAGGGCAGTCATCTCACTGTTCACGGACTCCTCAGTTCTGCAGGTAGAGATCAAGACCAGCTGCATTCTGTTGATCGGAGATGAAAACTGGGCCATGGGGTGGGGGAATAGTGACGCAGAACTGCTGCCGTTTGAGAAACAGGGAGTTTACTGACCTCACTCTGAAGGCAGGAAGCCATGGCTCCTGTTACAGTGATGAAATACTCCAATCACGGAAACGGACAGAAAATAACACAACCGCCCCCATTTACCACAGGACCAGCACAGGCCATGTCCTCCGCCCGAGTGGAAACCAGCACAAGCCACGTCCTCGGCCCAAGTGGAACAAGCCGACTTTCTTTCAGGTGGAAGGAACACCACTTGCAGGGGAATGCCGTGTTCTGCAGGACTGGGGCCCAATGGGACCAGCCTCAAGGACCACAGGTGGAGGGAACCGTGGCCCACACTGAACAGAGGTGAATCTGCCGCCACGTTTGTCTGTGTGTGTGTGTGTGTGTGTGTGTGTGTGTGTGTGTGTGTACCATCAAGAACTATGTTCTGCACCTGGCCCCTCTGTTCCTCATCCCCTCCTCTCCACAGGTTGCCATGAGCTTCATGTTTACTGAGTATTGTTCCCATAAAGTACTTGTGACCTCCATGATTAAATTTCACACATTTTCAAACCATGTGTTTCTTGCCCTGGTATCACCACTTTTTAAAAACGTATCCTCCCTATTATGAAATTCCACTGATACATGGAGAAGTAAGAAAGCTGAGAAGAGTCAGAGGTGACATCTCGGTTCCTATGGGCTATGTGAGTATGTGGACTCACCTCTGCTGTTCTTCCTGTCTCCTCGGTTGCGGTGTTTTGGAGTATCTGTGTGTCTCAGTGTGTGCACGTGTGTGTAGGTGAGTGTGTGTCCCTTGGTTTCTGTGTGCTTTTGTCATCTGACAGTGCACGATATCTTATCACTTTTGAAACTTCGTCCTCTGTTCTCCGTGAACTTGGCTTTCCTACCTTTCCTTAGACTCCTTCTGGGCGTGCGTGTTGGGCCTCCTCTTGGATCCTCCTTCAGTGACCCTTTGTTTTACCATATGATTGTCCTTCACTTCATTCACAGAACAATAACCCAATGAATTTCTCACTGTGCTGACTTCTTCTTCTCTTGAGTCTAATCTGAGTTACATTGAGTTTTTCATTTGAAGGGAAATGCTTTCTATTTCCACAAGTTCTATTCTCCCCTCTACCGACTTTTCTTCCTGTGTCTCCCTTTTCTTTTCTTAGGTGCGCTGGTATCTTAGTCTTGTCACTGTGTACATGGGTTTCTTTTGATATTGACTAATGTCCTGAGGTTCACCACAGTCCTCCTGTTTGTACCTCCCGTCCTGAGCTTGGGAATGATGGTTTCCTCATGCATTTCGTAATTTTTGTGAACTCAAGTTAAAAGCTCCCCACCCTAGCTCTGAGCCTGTGGGAAACCCTATGTAGCTTGTGTTGCTGAAATTCCTCCAAAGTCTTGTATGTTTATTTTTGCCTGGTGACTCAGGTGGTGTAAATTTAGAGTCCAAACCCATGTGAGCTGCCAGTAGAGTCAGATAAGCTTCCTACTAGTTTTTAGGGGATATGAAGATTTATTTTCCAATTCACTTCTCAATGATGTTGAGATGCGGGGTGTGGGGGGGTAATATAGTAGTTTTCTTCACACCTCTTGGCTTATTTGGGCCCAGAGTATCACTGAACAGTCTTTTTTTCTGGGTTCAGTAAACCCAGTCAGGGTTCACAAGCCTCCAATTTTAGTTTTCAAAGACAGATTAATTCGAGAATATATCATATACTGTCTTTGTAAGTTTTAGTAAGGAAACTCCTTCTCCTTCTCTTTCTCCTTCTCTTCCTCCTTCTTCTCCTCTTCTTCCTCCCCCTTTCTCCTCTTCCTTTCACATTACCTTCAGCTGCCATCTTGTCACCATTGGAATTCTTCAGACAGGAGTAAATGATTTATGCGTTGCTTTAGCACCTGAGAAAATGCAGTTTAAAATAATGCAGCTGTCAAAGAGAATTTGTACTGTGTCACTCAGGCCAGTGACAGATGCACCGCATGCCATCGCCACCCTCCGCGTCTACAAGTAAAATAGGCAGCCAGCCTTTCACGGAAGCATCTTCAGTGAGACGAGACTGGAGAGAAGTCACCTACTTGGTGGGATTTTACTCTAAGTAGAATGATGAGCACACACCTGGGAGCATTTGACAGTGAAAAGCCGGTGAAGTGAAAAGCTGGATGCTAAAGAAATGAGAGGCCAGGAGCGGACATCAGGGTGACTTAGAAAAGCGGCTCCCAGCTGAACCGGAGCCAGGCCAGGCTGGGAGATGGCTGTCCCTGGACTTGCTTGTTCTGCATTTCCACGCTGTGGTTAAACAGGTCTGTTTATCCATAGACGATTAATCTATCATATATATTTTAATCAACTTTTGGACTCCTGTGACCAAAACACCTGACAACAACAACTTAGAGGAGGAAGAGTTTATTGGGGGCTCAGTCCCCAGGTGGCTGACTCCATTGCTCTGGGCCCAAGGTGAGGCAGAACATCGTGGGGGAGTGGCCCTGTGGAGGAAGCTGCTCAGCTCATGGTGGGGTCAGAGACAAGTGGCAGGGAAAGGGCTGCTGGGCAGATGCTTCCTTCCAGGACACACCCCGTGACCCACCTCTTCCCGTCACGCCCCACCTGCCTACTGCTTCCACCTGTAGTGCATTCCTACTCCAGGGGCTGACTAGGTGACAGCTCTCACCACCTAACCACTTCATCTCTGAACAGCTCTCATTACTGCAGCTTTTTAACTCATGTCCAAACCATCACATTTTCTTGTCTTACTTATCTACCGACCTACCCAGCTGTCTGTCTTTCCATCTCTCAATCTACCACTAATACCCGATGGATTTGGGTGGGTTATTTGAGCACAGAGGGGTCCTGACTTGTGCACAGATCCCTTGGGTGGGGAGGAGTTGAGCATGTCTGTGTCTGGCATAAGGAAGCCATTCCTGTGGTCACCAGGGCTTCCCAACCACCTCTACACCTATCCCAGCATGTAACCCCCTTCAGTATTTTAAATTACTTTTTTTTTTTTTTTTGGTGCTGAATGAGTTTCCTTTGAAAGGGGGGGAGGAACCTGACAGAAAGTCCCATTTTCCTGCTAGGGATTTTTTGTTTGTTTGTTTTTGAATTTTATACGTCAAATTGTTCTGAAATGGGAAAGTAGGAAGGTTCATACACAGCGACAGGCCCAGGGGTCTGATTTAGGAAGCAGCGGGCACCTGCCTGTCCTCCATGGGTAGAGGGAAGTGCAGAGGAAGAAAGGAGGTTCAGAGAGTCGCAGAAAAGCCCTGCTGGCGACTAGCAGTGCCAACGTGGGCAAACTATCCAAATTCTCCCGTTTCCAGCCTCCACGTAAGCACAGGGAACTACCGACTTTGCAAAGTTGTCATGGGGATGGAACACGTTGTGCCTAAGGGTGCTGCACGTTAGGCATGGAATATGTGGCAGTTATTATTGAAATTTGCCATGAACAGAAAGGTTTAGGATGTCCTTGGGGAAAAGATCTCTCTCTTCATGAAGGAGATTTTATGTTAAAATCGTGACTTGGAAACAGGGCCAAATAACTCGTGACACACTCTCACTGCTGTCTGAGGTTTCAAACCACACTCATTTTTAAAAGGGAATGAACTGGGAGCACATTGGCACCCCTGAAGGCATCTGTGGTTCTGTTTCTTGTGACATTTGTAATGATTCCACCAACTGTTTCTAAACTTCCAGGAACTGAACTTGACTTCCTCCCTAATCTCTCAATAGGTAGCGAGGTGGAGACCGATGGGTTTTCCGATGTTGTGCGTATCATTCCATTGAAATCTCCAAAAAACATTGAAGCTCATCATGACACATCTGTCTTTTTGCTTTCTCTCTTCCATTAGCACATGGAATCTTTGACAGTACCACATAATTAACAATTACCCATAAAGCGAGAATACAGGCATCAAAAGAAAGTTGCCTTATTTTGCTTAGCTAATCACTTCCTAAATTATGGAACACCTTTTAGCACATAACACATTTTCACATCTTCCAGAAATACAGCTTTATTAGAAACTCTGGAAAGGCTTAAGCAGTCAGGGACCATCTGACTATGCATATTTTGGAGTTCAAAGCAGAATATGTTAACCAAAGTAAGTTAGAAATAAAAGTCACACAGAGGACAACATGAAGTCCACTGTAGAAAAACGAAAGGATATGTTTCTTTTGAGAATTTAGAAATAAATATAAAATCAAATCACAAATATTCCTTGGGTTAATGTAATATTAACCTTAGTGCATTTTTGCAAGTGAAAAATCACTCAAACGGAGTAGGCCTACATGGGGGAAGAGTCAGTAGGATTCAGGGAAACTACAGGATTTCAGATCATCATGAATGCAGTGTAATTTTATTCCTTGTCCTCCGTGGTAATCAGAGCACCAATAAAATAGACGTTGAGAAGCAGTTTTCACCTAAGCTAACAGTAATGAAACAAGACAACCCCAATGCAGGGAAGTTTGTACCAAAGGTGCCCCACGATGGCTGATGCACAGTGTGCAGGCAGGCTAGAAAGCAAGAGGGGGACCACTGAGGCCAATGGGAATTTCCATCACACTCTACTGTGCGTGTTTAGTGGTGAAATGTCATTTAAAAACACACTCAGAGAAAAAACTGACAGATGAAGATGTCTGGCTATAGGAAGAGAAAAAGTACGAGACTTGGTTTTTGAGGGCTTGAGTTTGAGTCCTGTATTTACTTGAACTCCCCCAACCTCAATTCTTTTTTTTTTTTTTTTTGCAGGTTTTTCCCAAATGGCAGCAAATTGAAATAGTTAACAATCAGAGGATAATTAGCAAAGCATTCCTCAGTTTTTGAGCTCTAATAGGACTGTATGAAATGATGAAACTTATTTTCCAACCTTGAAAGTATTAAGCAGAGACAGCAGACGAAAAGTGTCCTCCTCATCATCACAAATGAACTGAGCAAGGAAAAGAAGGAACTGAGAAAACAAAAGAGATGCGACAGCACGGATTTCAGAGATCCATTTACTTAAGAGTGCCAATACCTATGTAATATATTTATATTAAAATGCTAAGATAATAATACGGTCTGGGTATGAATTTGCATGTACACTTGCATGACTAAATATTGGTGGGTGTCTTTATAGGTTGTGTTGCTAACATCCCAACTGACATAACAAGAATGCCTACAGAAAGGATACCTGAGCACCTGTGATGTGGGGGTCATTCTTCTCAGGTGCTCTTATTTTCGTAAGCTACACCCACTCATTTTTGTAGGTAGCATCCCATCTTTTTCATAATCATGACACCCTTTCATTGAAAGAATTCCAAATTCATTCATTTGATCAGTGTTAATGAATGTGAACTTACTAAGTGCTGAATAACACCAGGATGAAAGGAGAGAGAGGGGGGAAACAAAAATAGAGCAGAGTGTATTTGAAAAAAACTCAAACCTATGTGTTTGTGTGTATTGTCTGTATGTGTAGCACACACACACACACACACACATACACACATACATGCTACAAATATTATGTTTTATATATAATGAGTAAAATGAACTACTGATTTCTATGGAGAGGATCTCTGATTCAGTTCTTGCTTGTAAGATTTGCAATAAAAGCCATGGATGTGGGAGTGGGAATAGGATTGGGCTGAGAAAGGAAGGTGTGATTCTTGACCTCTTTTCTAGACGTTTGACCAGGTAACTTCCTTCCTTCCTTCATTGCTCCTCTCCTCACTTATTCATCCACTGGTTCTTCCGTTCTTCAAATGTTACGGAGTAGACCTGCCCTGTGTGAGGCGCAATATTAGTCAGTGGAGGGACGGGAATGAGGAAGATGTGGCTCCTGTCTTGCAAGGACCTCCTCTTCTGTTACCAAGGACGGGGAGGTTAAAGAGTAGGCTGTAAGGCGGAGCTTGGGAAGCTTGATGCGAATGCAGACAGAGAAACAGTGAAGTGGGCTCCGGGTTCCTCGAAACGGTCACCACTGTGTCCAGTTATCATGAGGAAGAAGCCAGACACGGAGCACAGTGGATCCATTGCACATTCACCACTCCTCTTCAGATCCTATCGACACCTTCATAGACCCAGTACAGCAAAAGGCCGCTTGTGTCAGATCCCAGCCTGTTTCCTCTCTCTGCGGTCTTTTCAGTCTTCACTTCCCCAGGCATTCCCAACTATCTCCCATCCTCTAACTGTGGTGTCCCTTCTCTCACACTGTGCCCTGCCCCAAGATCCGCCTGGCAAGATCCTCCTTCTGTGGATTCATTCCTCAAGTTGCAGACCCAGATCACCTAACGCTGTACCACTTTCTCGGATTCCTACTGCGGTTAATTACTTCTTTCTCTTCCCACCCCTAGAACAGTTTCCATCTCCAATAAGGAATGTCTCAACACCACCTACCTGCCCCTTCCTCCTGGACTTCCTGAGGATTGAGCCCTGTCCTTTCCTTACCACCAACACCCAGGGCTGTGCCTCGGAAAGTGTTGGCTATAAAAACGAATGCATGCGGGTACAGAGGACTCATTATTGGGTGAAAAAGAGAAAACTAGCAAATAAATGAGGGCTCAATTTAATGAGTCAGTAAATTATTGAATAGTGATTGAGGAAATGAAATGATTGAGTAGCAAATTATTGTCTAGTAATTTAATTAATGAATAATTTCATTATTTAGTGAGTGAATAAATAAATTGATGATTTACCTAAGGGAGCTCATTACAGTTCCTTTCTAGATCAAAGAGGAAACATTGCTTTATTTTCTCACAAGCCCCCAGGACTTTATGGGCATAAGTTTTCCCTGCTTATTCCACTACCATATGGCAGGTACTACTTGTTTGCCTAAAGTATTAAGAATAAGTCACTCCTATGATTATTCTGGAAAACTGTCAGAGCAGCTACAGGGGTTTTTGTTTGTTTGTTTCTGCTTTTTGTAGTGCTGGGGTTTGAACCCAGGGCCGTGAAAGGTGAGTGCCCTACAACTTGAGCTACACGTCCCTGAAGTTGTACTTTAAACACTTCCCAGACCCCATTCTATGACTCTAACTTGACTGTAGACACAGCCCCTGTAAAATACTCAGACTTTTTAAAAAATATTTCAGATATTGATAACAGTGAAATGACTCGTATCCTACATCTGGGCTAAGAAATTATGTTCTGTTCGAGTCCATAGGTCTTAGATCTCAGTTCTAAATTACAAGAGACAATCTTGACTTACAGGAGAATTATTTTGTTATTGTGATACAATTCTTCAAAATAAAACAGGCCTGTAGGTCTTGCATTAGCAAAACCATGTACTTGTTAGCCTCAGGAACAACTTGCTTTTGCATTAGGGCCACCAGGACATAGTCTTGTCTTCAGAATGTGACATCACCATTTAACCTTGATTGTGAAAATCACACACAGGAATAACTGCTCTGTATTTTGAAGAACATCTTCTTGTGCATACAGGGCTCTCTAATGAGAAATGAGTTGAGACCAAGATTGAGCACACACTTAGTTTATTAAATGAACATGCTCAAAGGAAGGGGACACATACATGTGGCAATGGTGGATAAATGTGGAATTTATGACACTCTG